ACGACTTGTTCGAGCGCACCAAACTTGGGACACTATCTTGGGAGCAGTGGCGGCCAGCAGCCAGGGCAATACCGACCTGAGGCAGCTGGATAACGTCAGGAACGCCCCTCTTCTACCTGACCCGACAACTGGGCACAAGATCGAGAGGCGGCGGCTTTTCAACTTGGACACGCGCGATCTGGTTCAAGATATCTCGAGAGTGAACTGGACAGCCAACCCTCAGATCATCGACGATGTGGCATCGCAAGACCCCATCACGATCATCGAGGAGATCACTCTGGGAAAGGAAGAGGAAGCTGGAGATGGACCAAGAGGTGACCAACAGCCTGCAGCAGCCCCGCAGGAGCCTACCAACACCGACGAGACCACGGAGGAACCTAAGGAGGTGAAGCACGGAGGCAAGAAGCACACCAAGAAGGACCTGCAGCTCAAGCAGACCAAGCGGGACGACGCTCAGGACGATCGAGCTCAGCTTCGAGTACCTGCCCGGATCCAGAGGCACATGGAGGAACGCCAGAAGGCGGGGGAAACGGCAGCAGTACCAGCAGAGGTACCGCAGGATCAGCCGGCTACATCATCGTCAAGTACGCGACAGCCTGCGCAGGGCAAGCGCCAGGAGCACCCAGTCACGATCAAGGAGTTCTTGCTGGACGACGTGCCGATCAGCATCTAACGAGCCCAGGCGCAGACTGGGCCAGTCAAGCAGCTGGCAGATACACCGCTGCTCGTCGAGGCGTTCGTGGCCGAGCGGATGTGCAGCCAACCGACGAGAGCCAACAAGCATCAGGAGATCAACTTGAAGACGCTGGGCGACGACAAGCTCAAGTGGAAGAAGATGCAGCAGGCGGTGGAGAAGGGATGGAACACGCGGCGCAAGTACGACGCAGCAACCCACATATCAGGAGCAGCAGTCGACAAGGTCGACCCGGACAAGATCCTGAGCTCCAAGGTGGTCTGGACCGATAAGGACCCCTCGACCTTCGAGCCGAAGGCCAGGATCTGTGGGAGAGGCTACGAGGAGGAGTTCGACGACAAGCTACGACGGGACTCACCTACAGTCTCAGCACAGATGACGTTGCTCCTGTGCAGCATCGTATCAAGCCTCAACTTGGACCTAGTCATCGCAGATGTGAAGGGGGCCTTTCTGCAAGGCAAGGCCATCACACGCGAGCTCTACTTCCGTATCCCGACGAACATCGGGAAGTGCAACATCCCGGGAGTGAAGGCAGGCGACTTGCTGAAGTTAAACAAGAGCATCTACGGGACCAACGATGCAGCTCGTGCGTGGCATGCGGCACTACGCGAGACGCTCGCGAAGCTTGGATGGGAAGGCCTGAGCTTCGAGCCCGCGACCTTCATCAAGCGCAATGCGGAGGGCACGATCATCGGGATCATGTGCCTGCACGTGGACGACTTCCTCATGGGCATCAAGCAGGACGACCCGGAAGGCGCCAAGATCATGAAGGACCTGCAGAAGGAGATCGACTTTGGCGAGGTCAAGTACGCGAGGAAAGAGCAGGCGACGTTCTGTGGCCGGGCCTACAAGCAGGACAAGGACGGCAGCATCAACGTCACCATGGAGGCCTACGTGAAGTCGATGCAGACTGTACGTATCTCCAGAGAGCGCAGCAAGGCACCAGATAGCGCCTTGACCCATGCAGTGCATCGTGGACTACGAATGGTAGTTGGACAACTGCAATGGGCTGCGGGAATGATATGCTTCGAGGAGGCCTTCGAGGCATCCCGACTGGCATCTACGCTGGGAGCTCCGACGGTGAAGGACCTACAAGACGGCAACGCGGCCATCAGGCGGATCCAGAAGCGGACCGACTTGCTGATTAGGTTCTCAGCAGGCCTGAACCTGTGGAAGACCATGGTGATCAATGTCACCGACAGTGCTTTCGACAATCTGCCGAAGCACAGATCACAACGCGGACACTTCATCATGCTGGGCGACCAGAAGATCAACGAGGACCACAGCAACAAGTACAAGGTACACTGCATTGGGTGGCAGTCCTCCAAGATTCAAGGGGTGGTGCGATCTACTCTATCAGCGGAGGCCTACTTATGTGCGGATTCGGTGGACATGTTGATATGGACGAGGTCGACCCTGGCGGAGATCCTGTACCCGGAGATGGACATGACCGAGATTGTGCACGACACCTGGCCGGTGAAATGCATTTCGGTGACCGACTGCAAGAGCCTATACGACACGGTCACAAAGGAGAAGATCTCAATGACGGACAAGAGGCTTTCTCTGGAAGCGGCTATATTGCGGCAGTCACTCAAGGAGGTCAGCATCAAGTGGGTCAAGAGCGAGCAGATGCTAGCGGACTGTTTGACGAAAGTACTTCCAGGAGGCTACGCGAGGAAGATAGTTACATCAAGTTTGTGGACTCTTGGGCCTGATGACAGGGCACCATCAATACGCGGACGACAGCTTGTTGGACCAGAGAAGGTGGCAGCCAACAAGGAGGTAGACGAGATGAACGCGAAGATGGCCAAGTACGTCAAGCAGGAGCTGTGCGACGACACAGGGAAGGACGACGAGGAGATCTCTACGTGGCCGGTGGAGACGTACAACTACGTGGACGAGTGCTTCTACGACGACAAGGACGAAGTTCAAGACGAGGACTACGTCGAGGCATTCTACACGGAAGAGCTAACGGACAACTACCCGATGGAGATGAGCGGCGCGCAGAGAACCATCCGGGTACCTGACCAAGTTGTAGTTTTGTTTCAACTTTGTGCACTTGCAGTGTATGGAGTTTGTCTTTCGATGTCTCCTACGGTGGTGACAGTAGTCTCTATCATCGCGGGTATCGTCATATTCATCTACGTAATGCAGCCTAAGCAGAACGACGACGAGGACACCGCTGAGCCGATGGAGGTGGATAGTTCAAGCAGCGACAACCTGTTCAAGCCGGAGTTGCCCGAGAAGCCGGTCAAGGTCAAATCCAGGACGGCGAAGGCTACGCCGAAAGCTACGACGACAACACTCGCAGTGCGAGCCGAGCCAGAAACCTACGATGACGAGATCATGGGAGATGGACCAATCATGCTGGGAGATAGTGCTCTACTGAGGCAGTGGCTGGAGACCATGGGACCGACGATAATCAGGAGTGGCAAGTACGAGGGCGACAGCTACGAGACGATCTATACGAAGGACAGGCACTACGCAAATTGCCTAGGACGGTGTCTCAAGCTGGACGCAGACGAGAGCAGGAGTTATAACCTCGACCCAAGCATCAAGAGCTACATTGCATACAGCATCATCAAGTCAGCAGTGCGTGTACGCTGAACTCCACTACCACATATGTGACGATATCTTTGAGCCAGCCATGGCAGTGGCTCAGATGTGAACGGTGGTGGAATGATGAGTGATTTGGATCACCATTTACAGATGATGAGTGATTTGGATTACTATTCACAGATGATGAGTGAAAACACCCCCTCAAGAGCTCAGGTACAGATTTTTTATCTTGATATATGTTGCTCGGTGCGCAGACCTCAGGTAAAGATTTTTATATATTAATATATGTTGCTATGTGCGCGGATTTCTTTGATCTTGATATCTGTTGCTCGGTGCGCGGACGGTAGCTTGCCCGTTCGAGCCGATAATATTAATGAATATTCTAGAAGTTTGCTGCAGAATTTGCCAAGGCATTCTTTAGCAACGTTTCCTTTTCCTGTGTGAAAGTTGTATTAGCAAGGATGTGATATATAGGATGATGATTAGAATTATCTCTGTTGCTGCTCTCACTCGCTCATGCTTGCACTCTCTTGTTCACCGCGGCCGTTTTGGCTGTGGACCCGCCAGCTGTGGCGGGAGGGTGGACGCACTCAACGACTGTCTAGTTTGATTCGGTATGATATCAGATCATACTCTACCTATTTCTTCTTGCATCAAGAGGTTGTGGGTGGAGAGATTTGGAACAATATTTACATCCCCCCCCCCCTGGGCATCACCCCCCTCTTGACCGCCCCCGAGGGTTTGCGCCCAGGTCGCCACCTGGGGCCGCCCCGCCGCCCCCTCGCCGCCGCCCGCGTGCGCGTGCGCTGCCTGGCGGCCCTGCGGGCTCTCTCGCGCCGGTCGCCGCCCGGAGCGGCCCGGGGGCGCCTCTGGGAGCGCCTGGGGGCGTCGGCGCGAGCTCGCCGCAAGCTAGGCTGCGCCGCCCGACTGAGGCTTCCACGAGGCCAGTGGCAGGTCTCTGCGAGGCTCCTGGGGCGTCTGGGAACGCCTGGGAGGCGCCTGGGCGTGCCGCCTCGCCGCGCCGTCGTCGCCGCCGCCATCGTGCGCCGCCCTGCGTGGCGGCGGCTGCCGGGCTCTCGTCCGGTGGGCCGCGGCCACCCGTCGCCGCCACGCGCAGCACCGCGCAGCTTTCGGTCGGGCCCGTCCTCCTACAGGCGGATTTTGGAAGAAAAATATAATAAGTGTCCCAAAAAACTAGCTTCAAAGATGGTCACGAAACATCGTCCCCAGACTAGCTGTTCTTAGCTATTCTTCAGTATTCCTCCTGTAGAGGGCGATGCCCTGCTGAAGCGTAGCTTGCACCGCACTGCCAACACCACATAGCTGAGAAGGAGAAGGCCTTCTCAGAAGGCTTGGAAGTCCCACGGCCTTCTGAGAAGCTTCCTGAGCCTTCTCCGAGGACACCGAAAACGTCTCAGAAGGCGCGAGGGCTCCTGAGGATCCCCGCCGCCTTCTGAGAAGGCCTTCTCCTTCTAATTTCCCCCCTCGCCCGCCGCCGAACATAGCTACCACCATACAGATTGCACCGCAGTGCTTCCTCCACCACATCAGCTTGCACCAGATCGCTTCCATCACAAAACTTGCATACACACATAATTACAGGTGCGCAAACTGCACGAACGCTGGAACTGAGCGGGAACGCTTGGGCGTGGGGTTCGCCTGCGACTGGGATTGGGGATGGGATAGAGACAGCGAGGGGGCAATAGTGAAAGCTGGCAGGGAACACGTGGCGGAGACCCCCCGCGGC